TTTCCCTCCGACTCTCACAAATATTATGGAGCACACACAGCAGGCTACCACTACAATGGGAATGTTGTGTTTGCTGAGGTCTGGTCTAATCTAATCAGTGGCGTACAGAGCCTTCACTTTAAACACCCAAAAGTACCTTCTACCACTTGTGGCAAACCTCGGGCCAGCAAATCATAGTAGGCCTTCTGGGCCTCAAGTGTCCAAGAGCATCAACTTTCACAGTGCTGCACCTGCTATACCTAAAGTTGACAATCCAAGGTAGAATTTACTATTACTCTCGACAAGCACGAGTACTAAAATCGACTTTAACAGTTCTTAAAGTGGGTGGAATGGATGAGATGGTGTGAACTCATTGTTTAGAAGATTGACCTCATGTGGTAAATTCAACCTAAACTCTTACTGTAGACCAGGCCTTAAGGAAAGGAAAGCTTTACTGTTGAACTTGTATATCTTTATCCCAGATAGTTTGTTTTGGCTTCTTTGTAAAGAAAATTTTGTAACTCAATTTAGTGGTGTGCCAGATGTTTATTAGTTAATACACTCAACGGGATCTCATATTCACAGTGTAGGTCTGTTAATGCCTCAGCATTTATTCTCTTAAATTTTGTGGGAGTAACGAGGACTGTAAAATTTTAATCTATGGCTGAAATTCTACTAATGATATGTAAAGATATGCCATAGCGACAAGGAGTCCTGTAGCACTTTATAGACTAACAGATGTATTGGAGCATAAGCTTTTGTGGGCAAAGACCCACTCAGTCAGATGCATGTAGTGCAAATTTGACACCATCAGCTCAGGATTAAACAAAGACTGTGAATGGCTAGCCAGTTACAAAAGCAGTTTTTCCTCTCTTGGTGTTCACACCTCCAGATCAGCTGCTAGAAGTGGGCCTCATCCTCCCTGATTGAATTTACCTTGTTATCTCTAGACTGATTCTTGCGTGCATATTTATACCTGCCTCTGGAAATGTCCACTATATGCATCTGACAAAGTGGGTCTTTGCCCACGAAAGCTTATGCTCCAATACATCTGTTAGTCTATAAAGTGCTACAGGACTCCTTGTCGCTTTTGCAAATCCAGACTAACACGGCTACCCCTCTGATAAAAGATATGCTATAACTTTTTTGGATGGGATGTGATGGTGGTGGAATTATGGACATTGATCAATATTTTATTATAGTCTCATCTGGGTTTCATTAGCTGTAAGTTCATAGTAGGTACATTCAAGTGAAGGATTGTATCAGTTAATATTATGTGTTCCTTGTAAAGAGAAGTGCAAGTGTTCTATTTTTTCTCCCAACAGATATAACTTGTAAATTATAACACCACTGTTTTCTTTATGTTGATTTGACTCTGCATACATATATGAAATACATTGGTGTAGAAAAATATAACTTCAGATTTTGTTTTTATTTTTTTACTGTCATGTATCTTACCTTGTTAAAAGACACTTAAATTTATTTGATCTCTGAGTGGCAAAACAGAGGTGAAAATTCCACATAATAGTTGACAAGACATTTTAAAATATTCACTGTACTCCTGGAGCTATTAACGTTTTCTGTTGTTGAACATCCAAACTACTTTTTTGTTGGTATGTCCTGTAGAGTTCTTCCTCTAATAAAAAAAACTTTTTTTGTTCGTTTTGCTATTGTTTCGGAAGCTTGCCTTAATGACAAATATGCAGCAGTGAGGTTTTTTTTCTTTGTTTTGCACTGTAGTAGAATGATGTCAGAAAGATAACCCATTGAAAAAGTTACTTCTGTATAGTGTGGTATAATTTTAGAGATTAGGGCTAATTTTTTGTCATCAGACTTGCATGAAAGAAATGCATTTTCTTCATCTATTATATATATTGAAGAGTTCATTTGTGCAAAATAAAGTCATACTTTGCAATTACCTACAGATACCAAATTTTGCATAAACAATCCTGCCACTTAAGTAAGCTGAATGCACTACTTTCTACACCAGAGTATGTTGATTGAAAGGTTTAAATAATTATCTTTTTATCAGAAAAATGTAATGCCTATTATAATTATAGTTCATAAAAATATTTGCTAACAAAATTAAAATTGAGTTGCCTATTCAATTGTCATTTTAGTGCAAAGAAAATTATTACTGTTACAGATCACAAAATAATTCTAATTAGTTACGGAAAGAGTAATGGAAGCTTTACGAGTTTTATTTAGATTTACTATGTATGGTAATTATTTAATAAAATGAATAATGTTTGAAGTTGAAATCCTACAAATTTAAAACTGTTCGTTTACTTCCCTTTTGCAAGGACATTAATAAAAAAAACTCCATTACATGCCATTTTGTATGAAGAAAATGCTACCTGAAAAGGACATTTTAAAATAGAGGATATACCTGTGTTACTTTCTTCATTTTGCACAATATACATAGTTGTTATATATTGATCTAAATTCCTATTGTGTAGAAATTCAATATACATAGCTATGGTGACCATATTTTCTGAACCAAAATTAGGGACACATTAGCCATGCACTGTAACCCCCATTAGCCATCCCCCCCACCACAAGAAGTCCCACTTCTGGAGGTAGTACTCCTGGGGTCAAGATGGACACATAACTAGAAGTAAAGGGTGTTGTGTGACCCCTCTAAGAACTTCTCCCACTGTCGTCCTACCAATAGGAATGGGTTTGGTCCCCATAGAACCCCCCCTCCTCCCCGATGCAGCTATCCTACAATTGCATTAACCCAATTTGCATTGCATTAACTTGCGGGGAGAGGCTGGGGGAAGTGTTCCCTCTAAGATTTCCTCCCATGAACAGAGTTAATTTTGTCTTGTGCACCAGTATTGAGTTCATGTACACTTGTTTGGATGTGTACCTGGGGCACCGAAATTATTAATAAATATCTTTTAAAACCTCTCACTTTTCCCTTTGCGGCCATGTCTCCTCCCCTCCCCTTGCCCCATCTGCTCCCCTGGTGCCTGCTGCTCCCCACTCCTCACCCTCCTATGCTGTCCTGGCTCCTGCCCTTCTCACTCCCCTCCCTTGCACCAGCCCTTCTCTTTCTCCTGTGTCCACTCCTTTGCTAGCCCCACTCTGATCATCTGTAGCTACCCCTCCCCATCCCTTCTCTTAAAACATCCCTCTACCCACCCGCTCTGCCTCTGTCCTCTGGTGCCCGTTCCCCCCCCCTCCACTCTGTAGCTGCCCTTCTGCTTCCCCCCACAATCCCCTGACCCCTGCACCTTCCTGGTGTCTAACCCGTCCCTGTGCCCTCCTTGCTTACTTTCTCCCTGGTGCCCCCCACCCCTTGCCCCAGTTCTCCTCATGGCCCTCTGCGCCCTCACACATAACTTGCTCTATCCCCTGCCTTCCTCATGCCAACCCCTCTTCTCCCAGCACCCACTCTTCCCCCTCCCCTTCATTCCTCTTGCCCCTATTGTCCCTCCCCCTCTCCCAGCATCACCCCGTCCCCTCCATTCTCCCATTCCCACTGACACCTTCCCTCCCTTCCTCCCTCCTGCCCTTTTCCTCATTGTCTCCTTTTGGCCCCTTGACATTTGTCTCTCCTCCACCCTGCCTCTTGGTGCCTGCCCCTTTCTTCTCCTGCCTTGCCTCCCTCCCCTCAGCACAAACCCGTCTCCTCACCCTCGCTTTCCCCTGAGTTTTCCCTGGCCCCTTCTCTCATCTTCTGCCTTCCATGTGGACAGCAGTTTGCAGGGCTGCAGCCAGGCTACGGTGCTATTTTTATTACTGCCATCCCTGCCCCACCTCTCAGGGCAGGACCGTCTGCCGGGACTGGGGCAGAGGCTGCCCACAGTGCTATTTTTAGTACTGCGGTACGGGTTCCTGAGGGCTGCCCGGACCCAGATTGCGGTATTAAAAATAGCACAGTGGGCAGCCTCTGCTCCTGTCCTGGCACTTGCCGAGCCTGAGTGTGCCCCACACCGCAGCGTCCCAGCCGGGCTTCAAGTGGCTCTGGCCAGGGCTCCAAGGCAGCCCATAGGAGGAGGAGGCGGTGGTGCCGCTGAACCGGGACCCTGCGTGGAAGAGGAGGGAGGGAGGGAAAGGGGAGAGGGAGGAGCTGCATGCCACAGGAAGCTGGAGTGGCTGCCCTACGCGCCCTGCTTGGGGGGAAAGGGAGGAGGCTGTTGCATCGTGCGAGGAGCAGTAAGTAGTAAGGCATGGTGCTTCTTCCCGCAAGCTGGTGTCCCCATCAAATAGAGAACTGTTTGGCGGTGCTTTCCAGAACATTTCACTACTTGATGGGGCACCAGGACAGAGTGTTTAGATTTGGGACAGTCCCAGAAAAATCGGAACATATGGTCAGCGTATACATAGCCTTAGTACAAAACAAGATGTTTGGGTTTCCACTAATAGTAACAAACATACATGCCCTTTCTTGTTAAGATTGTGAATAGGGTTTTAAGTTCATATGTCTTCCTGATGTAGAATCAGTTTGTACTTAAAAGTTAGGCCAAAATGCTGCTTCTCTACCAATGCATGAATAGTTAAAATATATGAAAATTAGGTGTCCAGAAGCTTGCAGAGTTATACCTAAAGTCACATTCATTGTTTGGATTAATTATATTTTCCCATTTTAGAAGCTTCTTTGATTTTTTCATAAATGTCACCTACATAGAAACATTAAACTTAAATGGGAATTGGGTATCCAAATCACATAACCATATTTGAAAACATCTGCATGAATGTTAATGTGATAGAGGGAAATGGCAAAGGTATGATATTGAGCATATTTAGTGGTTTATGTAGTACTCCTTCACAAATGCTTATTTTATTTTTCATGGTTCATCAATGGCTTGGAGCGGTATCCAGAGTGCTGCTTTTTTTTTTTTTTTTTTTTGTGAAATAGAAATTTCATACTAGTGGAACATTAATCAGGTGCAGCCTTTTACAAGCAAAGTTTTAAAATCCCGGGGACTATTAAGAGATATAAATTGTAGGGTGAGTATTTTTGGTTCCATAATAGCTTTCTTACATTTCAAATTTTTCTCCATGTGTTGCAGCTCTTCTGAAGTGGTCAAGCAGATTCCCTTAAAGTGATCCTCTGAGTTACAACACAGGTGAGCAAACCAAGTGCAGATCGCATTAGCTGTTGTTTCCGTGTTTTGTGAGACCTTGAAGTTAGGAATTTAAATAGCTAACCAGCAACTTTTGTCCATGGTTGGCCCAGCCTGTCCCTCCCTTCCCCCAACAGGTTACAGGCTGGCTCCCAGGGAGCAGGGATGGAAGGGGCTGCCAGCCCTGCTCCTGGGACTCCAGATGCAGAGCCCATAGCGAAGCCGCCTCCCCGAGAGCGGGGGTGGTAACAGCCTTTGCTGGTCCCGCTCCTGAAGAGGAAGCTTCCCTGCCACAGCAAATCCGTCCCCCAGGAGTGGGGCTGGTATCAGTCTTTGCTAGTCCTACTCCTAGGGAAGCAGCTTCACTGCCACACTGATAGTGGGGCTGGTAGGAGCTGCTGGCCTTGCTCCCAGAGAAGCTTTATACTGCAGAGTCTGCAGCATGTGTAACCAGTATGACTTTTAGCAGTTACACGGTGACATTTTTAAACATATTTTTACATACACACTAGTAGATGTTGAGATGTGTAATATTTAGTATAACTGGTATCTGAATATGAAATTACAAAATCCATGTATATAGGATAATGAATTTTTTTAACATTTGTGAAAATTGTTCTGATGGAGCATACCTAGCAATGGGAATTAATGGGAGCTAAGGAATTTTAGCAAACTTGAGTTCCCTTGTAATAGAAACCTTATGTTTATTTCAGAGGTTCTTCAATTTTTATGTTGTCTTCTTTTAAAGATTTATTATCTTGTGGAACCTCTTCTCTCATTTCAAATCCCTTATTTCTCATGTGGCAACACAGGAGGACTACTCTTTTGAAAATTCATTTTTATTTAAGAAATTTTTGTAAGCATTTTAATCTAATTGTCAGCATAGATACAAATCAAGTCATGGGAGTGAAATGGACAAACAGCCACAATGCATCATCTTAATTCTCTTCCATATGTGACTTTAAAACAATGGTGCAAAAGAAATGTATTGTTCTAATTGGGGATTAACTATTGGTGATTAGAGGAAAAATTCCATGCATACTTTACACACCTTACTAAATAGGGTGACCATCTGTCCTGTTTTTACCAGGCCTGCCCCGTATTTAAGCTGTCTCCTAGGCATCCTGACTTTTTTTTAAAGGGGCTAAATGTCCTGTATTTGCCCCCCGCCCCCTCTCCCTCGCCGCTGGTCTTTGAGTTCCCAGGTCAGTGTAGCTGCAGCAGCCTCCTGTTTATCGCTGGTGGTAAAGCATGTGGTTTGTGGAGTCAGGCAGCGTGCCAAGGGAGAAACCAGATAGGAGTGTCTTCCCTCTTTGTGCACCATAAAGAAGGAGAGAAGTTTTCTAGCCTTTCAGGAAGCGCTGACTACTGCTACTTCACCCCCACCCCCCCCGCACTGGAACCCCTTTCTTGAGTGCTCCCACCGCTGGCTGCAGCCCCGTTCCCAGGCAGCCCTCCCCGCGGGACTGAAGCCGTTTGCCACCATGGTGCTCAGGCCTGCTTACCGGGTGGCCCCCACCCATCATAGGGCTGAAGCCCTTTCCCTGCTGTGGGTCTCAGCCTGGTTCCCGGGTGGCCCCACCCGCTGCAGGGCTCAGCCTCATTCTCGGGCTTTCCCACCCCCATGGCAATCAGCCCCATTCTTGGGCGCCATACACACACCCCCGCGCGGCGCTCAGCCCTATTCCCAGGGAGCCCCAGCCGCGGAGCTCAGCCCTATCCCAGGGCAGCCCTTGCTGCAGGACAGAAGCCCCATTCCTGGGCGGCTCCCTCCATGGGATTCAGTCCTGCCCCATCCCACTTCCTTCCCCCATCCCCATTGTGGGGCTGAAATCCTGAGTGCTGGCAGCCCCTGACCTTGGTGCCCCGTATTGGGCTTATGGTCATCCTATTACTAAATCACATTTGACATCAGCTCACTGCTCTAATTTATCAAGATGATGGTTAGCATTGATGATCTTGACAAACTGGATAAAAGGTTTAAATAGAATGAAATTCTGTAAGGAGAAATGCAGAATTATACACTGAGGAAGGAATTGCACAACACAGAACAGGAAATGAGTGTCTAAGGAGGAGTATTGCAGAAAAGCATCTGGGAGTTATTGTGGATCGCAATCTAAATGAGAATCAACAATGTAATATTGTTGCAAATAAAAAGCAAACCCAGAGCATTCTGGGATGTATTAGCCAATGGCTGTGTCTACACTGGCAAGTTTTCCCGGAAAATCATCTGATTTTCCGGAAAAACTTGCCAGCTGTCTACACTGGCCACTTGAATTTCCGGAAAAGCACTGACGATCTAATGTAAAATCACCAGTGCTTTTCTGGAAAAACTATGCTGCTCCCGTTCGGGCAAAAGTCTTTTTCCGAAAGACTTTTGCCCAAAAGGGCCAGTGTAGACAGCATAGTTCTGTTTTCCGCAAAAAAGCCCCGATCGCGAAGATGGCGATCGGGGCTTTTTTGCGGAAAAGCGCATCTAGATTGGCCACGGACGCTTTTCCGGAAAAAGTGCTTTTCTGGAAAAGCGTCCTGCCAATCTAGACGCGCTTTTCCGAAAATGCTTTTAATGGAAAAGTTTTCCGTTAAAAGCATTTCCGGAAAATCATGCCAGTGTAGAAGTAGCCAATGTGTTTTAAGGAAGACATAAGGAGTTTAGTTCTTCCATTCTGTTCAGTGCTCCAAAGGCTTCAAGTGAAGATCTGTGTCTAGTTCTGGGCACCGCACTTCAGAAAAGATGGATAAATGGGAGAAATTTCAGAGGAGACCAACAGTGATTAAAGAAAACATGACCTACAAGGAAAGATTATAAAAATCTTTGTTTGATCTGGAGAAAAAAAGACTGGGAGAAGCGAGGCATAACAACAGTCGCCAAATACATAAAAGGCTTTTATAAAGAGGGGTGATACATTCTTTTTAGCTGTTGAGGACAGGACAAGTAGTAACAGGCTTAAGTTGTAGCAAGAGAGATTCAGGTTAGACGTTAGGAAAATATTTCTAACTGTAAGCATAATTTAAGCATTGGAATAAATTACTTACGGAGACTGTGGAGTTTCCATCACTGGAGGTTTCCAAGAACAGGTTAGATAAACATCTCTTGGGATGGTCTAGATCAGGGCTACACAACTTTGGAAGCCTTGGGGGCCACACATGATACCCACAGCACATGCTGAGGGCCGTAATTTAAGCACGGTTGCATATTTATGCAAGTATTTGCAAATAGCTTCTTTCATACTGATGGGCATGAATACAAAGATTAAGGCAAGACTACACAACATACAGGCCCCACTTAAGTCAGTTCTTCTGATATTAATAAAATTCAATATTTAACCCATTTCCACCATATAACAGCACTTTTAACGAGCAATGACAGTTCAGCAAATTAACTATTAAAACACAACAGAAGGCCATAATATTGACTACTTTTTGGTTTGGCTTCACAATTTTAACAAATCAAATACAAATTGCCAATACAATATTTACTGAAATAGCACCTCTCCTACTCCAGAGTCAGGCACCCCAGCCCACGGCTTTATCCCAATGTACCCACCCCTCCTGCAGAGCCAGGCACCGGAGATATGGGACGGGTAACCCTACCTTTAAAGTGTCCGCTCCCGCCGGCTGCTTTGGAGACTTGATTGCAGTTTGCACATGGCCCACCAGGCGCTCCTGGCTCGCCACAATGCATGAGGCTGTGCACTCCACTCCCACCCCAGCCATGTGCCCCCCCCAGCATGGTGCCCAGGAGCAACTGTCCCCCCCCCCCTCGCTACACCTCTACCTGCGCACCTGCAGCTTTTATCAGAGCTACACCATGCAGCTCTGCTTGAGGGGAGGCTCTGTTGCCTCTTCTTCCCGCCTCCCCCTCCCGCTGCCAGCCGGTAGCAATGAGACAGGCAAGCGGCCCAGGAAGCGGCTCAAGGCACCGCAGGCCACTGTGGATGAGTGTTCTGGAGGGAGTCCAACACTCCAAGGCCCTCCCTCAGGCTAATGTCGGATGTCTTGAATCTTGGCTGGAGCGTGCATCTTGGAGAGCAAGTCCCAGGGTTGTGTAGCCTGAAGGAAATAAGATTCCATATAACTATCAAGGAGCTCAGAGTATTCATCTAGCCTGCATAGTTTTTCTGCTGCACATGTTGAGTGGGGTGGGGTGAGCCTTCACAGAAAATATGGCCTCCATATTCTACATCAGCAGGCAGTGAGGGGTGTGCTCATCAGGGCTGTGCCAAGAAGTGCTCCTTCCCTGAGACATCTATATCAGTCATGACATCCATCTGAAGGCCAATCACCTCCTAGGAACTGATAGTGACCTGGCAGATCACCTCAGTAGGGATTTCTCGTTATGACTGGTTGCTCCATCTGAAAGTAGCCTGTGTGATCTTCCAGAGTTGGAAGTTTCCTTTCCTGGATCTGTTCACCAGCAGGCAACATAAAGTGCCCTGATTTTGCTCCCGGTGAGGGTGGGGCACAGGCTCTCTCTCCAATACCTTTCACCTGTCATGGTCTGAGGGTGTGGTGTGTGCA